GATGATGATGAAGTTTCCCAGAAAGTTTTAAGTCCGTTAAAATAACAAAAGAAAACAAAAGATGGCTAGATAGCACTTTATTTTCATGTGCATAAAAATTCAAGACATCCTTTTTCAGCAAAATAGCAGATGGAAATGTGCACAACTGCCTGTACAAGGCCAACAGTATTTTCAGTTGCAAATATTCCAATAACAAAAATACCATGCTACTTGAACAAACCACCAAAATTTCTTCAATATAAGTTAACATAATTTCAAGAAAATATTTCTTTTTGTTTCCCATAATTGCATTTCTTAACAACCTATGCTCTTATAGTAACCATCACCAAATGGCAAGAAAATGGGAGATCTTGAAAGACAATTCAAAGAACAAGAACTTTAGTGCACAGGAAACACTAACCACAAACTCAATGATATTATTGTATTTAAATATATTATAATGCATTTAAAGCTGGCAGATTCTTTCTTTTAGGTTAAGTCTCCTGTGCCGAACAAAATAAACGTGTGAAGCGAGAGTATTACAGAGTTACTACTTGAGCTGGGCCACTTGGAAAAGAGTCAACCAATCAGAATGTTACTTGAGAAAAAAGGATTACAATCTTTTTCTCAAATAAACCAAACAATAGATCTTAACAAAATTGAAAACCCAACAAAGTGGGAGGTGGTGCAAACCTCTCGGGAAACTTTGCCATTTGTTTATTTGTTACTTTTGATCCTAAATTTTGTAAACTGTTTAACGGGAAATCAGTTCAATTGTTGCAAAATGAGTTTTCAAGCTAAATTTTTGGAGCAAGATTTATAATTATGATAATTTGCCATCAAGGAGTGAATCTCTAAGAAAGCATATAACGCAGAGGAGTTGATAGTGTTTATGTTTTCACATCAAACAGACCATTACTTGCCATTGTGAAAAGGTACCAGTCCATTGTTCTCAGTTTATGTTTTGATTGGTTTGTTTTCTTCTAGGTGGCCAGGTGGCCCAGTTCAAGTAGTCTTACAGTAATAGAGATCATTTTCATTTTACAACTGCTGGTAAGTTTCATTTTGTGAATGAAAAATTTATTTAAATATTTATCAAGCTGTTACCTCCAAGGAGTGCCACAAACACTGGATTCTGCAGACAGCACAAATCAGCACTTTTGTATTAACATTTAGAGAGTGAGGTGTATAATTACGTTAATTACTCTCCACACAGGTTCAATTCTTACTCAACAACTGAGAATCCGCCCAGAAAAATATACTCTGGTTTCACCGCTGACTGCAAAGATGACTCCTGCCCACAAGTTGCAGATGGATTGTGGAAACAACAGTCATCATTGAGCACCAATTCATGTGGTGTTCCTGGAAGGCTTTGAACCTTGTACCCTTATACATTTAATTAACATACTTTTGACCCATCATGCAATAATTATTAAGACTTCTATCTTCTGCCTGGGTGCTTAATGAGTTAAATCAGGTTATCAGGAGTGCTAATTAAAATAATCAGACAACCTGCTGTTGAGCCTAAAACCTTGACATTTTAACTCAGACCCTCTGCTTCTATTACTCAAAGTTGTTGTTCTAATTCTAACAATGTTCTAACACTAGTTAACCAGCATTTTAACTCAAGCTTAATATTTAAATAAAAATCCGAGACTCAAAACTTCACTGGGAAGTTACGAAAACCAAACAAGCATGGAAATTGAAGTAAGAAGTTTTCCAGCACTGAGAAAAAACATGAAAAAGCAGTTATATATACAAAGAAAGCAGAGGTTGAACATCACTGTGCTTTTTGATGCAGCACACCAGCAGCATAGCTGACAGAGCTGTCACCAGCGTGACGACATTCATTGGACTGAGAGTAGTGAATAAATTCTAATGTCCATGGATGGGTTACGCCATTCATCTGTCGCATGACCTCAACTGCCTGTAATAAAAAGAAAAAAGAGACAATTTTTTAATGTGGCTGGCAAGTCAGTACTATTGGCAAACAGTACTGTTTTTTTTTATAATATTTGCTCAAACTCATTACTACTTTGATTTACATGAAAATGAACCAGTAGGCAGAACTCATTTTCATATGAATGGTTTCACATGAAGACTCCTTTTGACACAGAGACCATGAAAGGCAACTCGGAAATGGCCTATTGAAAGGAAATCATGACTGTGATAGTGTTTGGATATCTGATCTTACTTAGCATAGATTTTTACAATTTTATTTCTCCCTTTTCTCCTTAATTTTAGTTCTCCTTCACAGAAGATATATCACTTAAGACAGTGTTTGACTACATTTCCAAACACCTCAAAGTTCGTCAAAAAACTCTCGTCTCAGTGTTTGGAAATGTGGTAAAACATGGTCTTTTGTGTTTGATATATTACTTAAAACACAATGGAAAAGCACACTTCACATTTAAAGAAATTAAATACAGTTGACTTCTGGTAACTTGAACTGTCAAGGAAAATCATAAAAGGTTCAAGTTATTAGGAGTTCACATTAGAGGGGATGGGAAAAAATGACCAAAAATAAGGAAGAAAAAACAGGGTTACATTTCCTTTATCAATTTCTGTTCAAACAATGTGTTTATAAGTTTCATAATTTACAAAGAGAGAGCAAAAAATTAACAACATTTTGCTAACAAAACAAAACAATGGACCTCCAATAAAGAGGAAATAAAACAAAAAAAATGCAAAGCAGGAAAGAATCACTCAGTGCTCAATTTGTTTCAAATTAAATTTTCTGACCTTTACTGGTCTGATCTATGTATTGACTAGTTGCACTTTGACAAAGGGGTTTGAGTAACTAAGCCAGTCTAAAATTCTAGAGAAAGTGACCTGAAGTGAGTAGCAGGATTTTCAAGTAATTGAGGGGTTCATTTTACTGAGGGTAAAATTGCAGTAAATGTATGGATCCAGGGCTACACTCTAGAGGCACCCAGGTGCCACGGGCAACTAACTTTTACGTTTGGGTGACTGGAAAAACTTACTTAAATTTAGATTAAGTGAGCACTGCATGAATAGGAACCTTTGGGCTGCTCAAAATTTCTTTTAAACCACAGCCTTGGAACTAAATCCAGGAGAAATCAGCTTTGGTTCCAGTCAGCATAAGATTTGAGTTGCCGAGAGTTCAAGTTACTGGGAGTCAACTCTGTGTAGTTACTTACGTGGAGTAAAACACCAATAGGATGTCTACCACATATTGTGTTGTGGTATTTATCTATATACTCTTTAAAATATTTGGGGTCTAGTTTTTCTATAGCTTCCATTCCCTATGAATTGACAGCAAGAAAACAGTTACAAACTGATGGCATCCATAACTAATGAGTACCTTGTTACCGTGGTAACATACATGTGTAGTCACAATGTTGAAAAGTTTATATCAAATGAGTGAACTTAGAAATAACCGAACTTGAGATCCAAGGGGGGACTCTCATATACAATGTAAAAAGGTATGGGGGGGGGGGGGGGCTCGTCGTACCTTTTAGGGGTTAAAAAAAGCAGTTTTGGTACCTCTCACAGTGTGCAGCATCAAAAGGTTCACAGTGGGAGCTTTTGCAGTACCTATTAGGGTGTTGAGCCAAAAAAAAAACTATGGCAGGAGATAATTTGTTGTTTTAGAATTGGTACCTCTTAGTGGTGAAAAAAAGTTCAAGCCACACCCACAAAACAGGATCTTAGTACCTCTTAGGGGTTCTTTTCAAAATTTCTGACGAGCCCCCCCTGTTCTTTTTATATGGGAGTGCCCCCTCCTCCCATGCTCAAGATAGGAGAAAATGAAATGAAACGCATCAAGAAATCAAGAAAAAAATCAATCAAGAAAAAAAGAAACCCACTAAATTCAAGACATACATAACCTATGGAACATTAAGCTGTGGAAATTGGAAGTTGGGGCTCAATTTAAATTTTGAACACGTGTTAAAAGACTAGAAATCTTTTAAACAAAGGGTGTAAGTACAACAAATTATAAACTACTAACTAAAGTTATTTTCTTCATTCTTCATTCTCCATTGCATGGTTCAAAGCTCTGTTGCAGGCTTCATGCATGTGCCCAATTTTGTTTGATTTTAAGCTGACTTAGTATCCACTTGAACCTTGATCTAAAGGTTCATATTATAAATACCACATTTATTACTTACTTTCCTATCTAGAGCTTCAATGTATTGAAAAATAGGGCCACAACTTCTGTCATAAAATGAGTAGTTAAATCGTTTTCCTGAAAAAGAACATCTTAGTTGATTGATATTTTGTTTATTTTAGTTGATTTTACCATCTCAGTTCAATAGCCTTTATATATATATGCATGTTGACATCAGACCAGAGATAATTTCACTCCATCCCAATGAGCGAATGGCATTTAAAACATTGACAAAGAATAGACTACATGTAGTTAGAGGAAATGAATCATTAATTCTGCTTTCCCATCAGAATGTTATGACTATCAGTCAGAGAGCTCCTCTTGGTATAGTTCTTTCAAGTGTTAATTAAGTATCAGTATTGTTGTTTTTCATTAATAAGTATTGTATATGTTCAAAAAGAAAAAAGCACACCCCCCTCCCTCCAATAAGTGAGCCCTACCTTGAGCTACCAAAGGTAAATCAGTACCCCTGGTACTAAATTGAATCATTATGGTAGCTCTTATTAAACAATTGGGGTAGGGTATGGGAGAATCTTGACTGAGGTCTCATGCACAGACCAAGTACAATAATATAAAATTGTTTTAATTTTTACCATATTTTCTGACTTAATCAGTTTCTTTCTCAGTCATTTGTTTGTTCGTTCATTCAACATTTCCTCAAGGCACTATTTTCTTTTATCATTTCCAACTCTTAATCCAACTTTCAGAAATTTATAGATCACATGCTTGACTTCATACTTACCCCAGTGACAAAAATCTGAAGAGATAACAAAAAAATTCTCGGGTTTGATCAGATATTTGCTTAGAATCCTGCCAAACTTTGCTTCACCCTCAGACTTTAATCCACCTACCAGGATTGGAACAATCTTAAACTGATCCTTTTTACTGTAGTAAGACAAGAAAGTAGCATACATTAATGCAGAAAACAAGTGATTATTATAATTTATTATTCTGATTCTGAGATAGAGAGATGTGTTGTCTTAACAGTACACAGAAAATTAAGGTTTAGTACACGGAAGTAATCACTAAACCCTTGGGAAAGGACTCCCACAAGAAAAGATTGGGGATGCCTACCGGGAAATTTAAATTAAACCCCTAAAGGAGACCAATCTGGGCGTGGCTCAGGCTTTATCTGACCTGTGAAAGATAACACTTAAAACGCAATAGGCTTGATTACCAGCCGTTGTTCAGGACAGAGGCCTGGGCCAGTAGACTGGACTCGAGAGATTGGCAGAAATCAAGTCTAAATACAGAAATAAGCGTGTTTCTTTCATTATTATTTCTTTGTGTGCACCCTAAAAGATATGTTTATTTGACAGCTAAAAATACTGGCATTTCTTTATGAACACCCTAAGTGAAATCTGAATCGTTAATTGATATCCCCAAGCAAGAAGACGAGCATTCCGACACCTGACCTTTTCATATGGGAGTCTTGGCCATCCCACTGGGAACTACACATTGGCAAAAATATAATGTAACAACATTGCTACTCCACTGAATGAGGCTTTATTTTTCATCTGTAAAAAAGGATCAGTCTTACCTCTCCATTACTTTTGCAATGTATGGCAAATGAAGTTCTATACTGTGTTCCTTCTCGTCATCAGCCTCATCAAGCTTCTCAAATTCTCCAGTAGCATACAATTCATTATTGACTGAAAAAAGAAATTTGCATCTTGTCAGTGGCTACATTCATGATCACAAACACCCCAGGCACCAGCAGGCTTNTGTAAGGAAAAAAGCAAATCAAATCTCAAGAATAAAACTGAAAAGCTTTGAAATTAACTTCCTTCTCAAAACAGTTTAGGGACTAAAAGCCCTACTGACAATACAACATGGTTTCCAGTGGAACAGCTATTTATAATTTGACTATGATTCAGGCTTTCTTCTAAAACTTCCATAAAACGATTCTCTGAAACCAAGTCCATCTCCTGTTATTAGGTTGTAACAAAAATAGAGCACCTACTCACATTTTACTTGGATCGATCTGTTTGTAAGCATGGGCTCCGCACGAACCACAGTAAGTGTAACCGGCATGCCTTCATAAAGAAAGAAAACATTGCTGTTTATACATAAAAGCTTCTGTATTCCCTCGATAAAAAGGGATCGGGATTTTTTTTCAAACAAACTTACTTACGGTGCTATGATAGCTTTCGCTGGTCGACATGTTGGTTCAACTTTAGATAACCACTCTTCTAGCTTCGCGTTTAGTTTTCGTGCTACATTTTGATGATGGGAAAGAAACACAACAAAAGAGTTTAAAAACACCGGCACTACTGCTTATACCAAAAAGTTCATCTTCAAAAAAAGAAGTATTTGGTTAAGAGTCCTCCCACCATCAGAAGTATACCAGCTTCCTGCGTGACTTGCTCTACGTATAGACATAATACTTGGCTTATAATTTCAAAGAGGAACTAAATAACGTTTCAAACTGGAAAAAATTCTCAACAATATCTTCCCCGGGAAAGTTCGAGATGAAAACACTGCCACGAAGGTGACGTTTGTCGTGAGGGACTGGGCAGTACATGTGCAGATGACAGAAAACTGCTGCCTGGATATTGTCTGATTGCATATTCATCTAAGCTCGTAAAATATGGAAGAACTTCTCCTTGCCAAGGAATGAAGCTTGGCTGGCAAAGCTATGGAAATCAAGTTTTTTATTATTTGAGGGGCAATGGAAATTTTTATCCAGAAAATCTACCAGCTAGCAGATGCAGGTGCCGAATAATCATCCAAAGGCCAACTGAAGAGGTGTGCATTTATAGACAATAAGCAACCAATTTTACTGTACGTAATATGCGATAAAAGCATACCACATTAACGTGGTATCAATTCATTCAAATTTATCTTTATTTCAACCCCTGGGGGCGGTGAAGAGAGGGGTATGCAGGATTGTGGGACCATAATATTTAGTGCGTAGGGTGGGGTAGGGTGGGTCCATGGGGTGGGGTTGAGTGGGGTAGGGAAGTTTGGTGATCAAATTATGTTAGGCTATGGTTCGCACTCATGTTTACTTGTTGTTAACATTTTATTTCTTAGAATAGAAGGGACAGCATTGTCTTGTATAGTATTTGCCTTTTCCAACAAATAAAAGCTAACTGCTAGTAAGTTAGTTAGTAAGCGCTTTATTTGCAGAGGGTAGCACCTAAAAGTGTGTTCATTTTTACCGATTCTTTGTATTTTGTCTTGCCCTGCATGCACATCAAAATATACTTGGTCATATGTACCAAATGTGACTAACACTAACCACAAACCCGGGCCACCAACATAAAGTGCATTTGGCAATCATCATTTAACGAATTATCCCTGCCAATAAATAATTAATGGTAAAAAAATCCACTGAATTTATAAACTGATAAGTTATTTTGATATCCAGGGAGTATAAGAAAACAGATCCCAATGTGTGTGAATCCTTGTGTTGCTGCAAATTTCAAGTCAGAATAAGNTGTTGTGTTGTCACTCTGTAGGAGGCAGAGTGAAGCAGGTTCAGCCATTCAAAGGATTTGCTCCTATTGATCTTGGTGGCGAGTTTATTCATGGTTCAGACAGCATCATAAACAGGACTGCAAAGGAAAATGGTTGGGTTGTTCAACCAGTAAGTCTCAGATTTAATTAACCCTGATTGTTTATTTAGTTTAGCATTCTCTGTATTCAATTCGTCCACTACCCAAGAAACATGAGATATTTGCCAATGCCAAAATGCCAAATTCCAAAGCTTGAATTTTCCACATTTAGGTACTGTCTTAGCCCGTGAACAGGCTCCTGATCGGGGTGTACAGTGTAAAACAACTGTAAAAACCGTGTATGATCAGCACCTGCACTATGTTGGATCAAGGTAGATCTTGACCATAGTTACCAAAACATAAGGAACTATAACAAATACTGCAAAGGTCAGCCAAACAGTGTTTCGGCTGGCCAACACAAGTCTTCTTCAGGTCTATTTAAAAGAATGCGAGTTTACATGGTTTATATGTACATAAAGAGCCGACCGCTCACCCCAGACCATGCTCGGTTCACTGCACTCATCTATTTCTTTTCCCCCTATGCTCCTATCAGGAGCCTGTTCACAGGCTAGTNGTGGCCAGTTCACATTATCAACCCAGTTGATAAAACCAATTTATGGTGTTATATTCCCCACTGACACAGCACCACAGTTTCTTTAGAAACTTACCCTCTCCACAGTCTGAATACTTCGAGGCTAATTAGATTTTGTCCAGTTTTAAATAACAAACAATCCAGCTCTCAGATCTCTCTCTCGGACACTGTTTAAACACTGTCAGACTCTTCAACGTACAAAAACGTTCTTATTTTCCTCAATTTACAGTGCTATAAGTGTGAAGGACTTGAGAATGAATACATGTTCTACTACAAAGGCAAATTACATCCATTGTTAAGTAGTCATCTGGATATTCAGAAAGCTTGGAAGGCTTGGGATGATATCATATTCTTTTGGGAAAAGAGATCTAGAAATGATCATCTTCAAAGTGCGGAAAATTTTCATGAGACAGACCAAGAGGCAAACGTTTACGACAGTGGTTGTAAAAGTGCTGAGGATCTCCAAACTCAACCTGATTCAGTATCTATAAAGAATTCTGGAGTCACAAAATTAGAAGAAACTCAAGAAATGCATTGCAGACAGAGCACTGTGAATAGTGATTTAAAGTGAGTTGGGAAGTAATTAATTTATTAAATAAATAATTAAGGACGTTTGCATCCAATATGTCCCTGAGGATAGATTTTTCAAAACTTATCATGAAGTATGGGGGCTTGACATTGTGACATGAATTTTGTGTACAGGAAGGATGCGTAGTAACAACTGGTGTGAATGTCCTTAAGTTTAAGACAATGAAGTACTCTATTAAAATCTTTAGTTGATTTAAATCTGCCTTTTTGTAGTAGAAAAGTTAGTGTAAATCAAGTCAATCAATTTAATGTCATTTTTAAATGTCACAGAAGTCTTTAATTTGTTGCAATAATTGCAACAAATTAACCTGCTGACACCTTGCCAGCCAAAACCAGCTCTTGAATCTCTGTCAGTTAGCTCAAATTGTCTGGTTATCAGGCAATAATTATCAGATTTGGTTTCCATCAATTCATTTAAATTCATTGGTGGAAATCCAGTGGATAAATTCAGATTGTTTTAACATGATTATGCATGTGTTATCTCCAGGTTCAGAAAACCATTTGACAACAACAGTGTATATGCTATATAAACAGCAATTTTTTGTATCATGTTTTACCGATATTTTTCTTTTTGAATGTAATGAAAGAGATTGAAAGATTGTGAATGTAGGAGAATAGGTGTGGGTGGAGGTGCTTGGGCCACTACCCAAAACCCTTACCCTATTGAAGACCATAATCTGTGATTTTCCCTACCCTATATATGACCTGACCGACCAAAAATTTGATACCCTATTTACGACTGGCCCTCAAATCAATACCCTGTTTTGGCCTGCCTTATAATTAGTTCCTTAGTTCAGACCTATGTTAAAGGTATTGTGAAGGGCTGTTGATGGTCTTGTTGGTGATGAAAAAGTAGCTTCATCTAAAAAACTGCATCCAATTCAAGATTAGAGTGCAAAAACCATACTTTGTTTGAGACTAAAATGGCCAAAATTGATACCCTTTCTCTGGCCAAAACAGCTAAAAACCATACACTTTGGGGCTGCGCATACCTCTATAGCCCATATAAGGGAGTATTCCCCCCCCCCCCCCCCCCCCC